TGAAGTTGCACTTAGGTAGTGACTAGAACTGGGGTCATCGAGAAGGCTGCTGACTCACACATCAGGTTGTTGACCCTGGCTCAACTCCAACTGCAATTTGGGCCAGACTACTTTTACAATGACACTGAGGTTCCTCACAAGTTGGCATCTGGGTTCTAAGAGCAAAAGTCCTGGGAGAGAGAGAGAGAGAGGAAGAGAGAGAGGGAGAGGGAGAGGGAGAGGGAGAACAGAGAGAAAAACATCCTGGGAGAGAGAGAGAGAGAGAGAACAGAGAGATGAGTACAGGTGACAGGCAGGAATGATGTGACTTCTGTGACATCGCCTCCAAGTCAAGAAGTCTCGTTCATTTACACTACATTGTATATATTTATTAGAGACAAGTCACTAAGCCAGCCTATATTCAAAAGGAGTGGAATTAGATTTCGCTTATAGAGTTCCAAATTGCTAGAGTGTGACGATATATCTGCTGAAGGAAACGTTGTCAGTTTGATCTTACCAGACACTGCAGGAGAAAGAGGTAAACAACCTTGAAAACCCTATGGGGATGTTCTGCTCTGTCCTATTGTGTTGCTCTGAGATAGGATCAAGGTGAATCCCAGGAATGGGTAACGTTCCTGGGAGCTTGCCATGTGCCTAAAGCCATGCTACGTGCTTGTAGTACATTCTCTCATGACCTCAAATTGACATATAATTCACATACCATACAATTTAATGGTTTACATATTTTTTTGCGTGTTAGGCAATCATCACCACTATCCACTTTAGAACATTTTCTTCTTTCTTGTACTCATTTTTAGCTCCCTATTTTCCCACAACCTTCCCTGCCATGTTGTTGTTGTTGTTGTTGTTGTTGTTGTTGTTATTGTTGTAGGCTACTGAGTCAGGTCTAACCTATAGCAATTTTATGAACAACAGAATAAAACACTGCCAGTCCCTACACCATCCTCACTACTGTTCCTACTCTTGAGCCCATTGTTGCAGCCACTGTGTCAATCCATCCCAATGAGGGCCTTCCTCTTCTTCACTGCCTCTCTACCAAACTTGATGTCCTTCTACAAGGACCAGTCTTTCCTGACAACATGTCCAATCCTTGCCATCTTTGCTTCTAAGGAGCATTCTGGTCAGACATCTTCCAATACAGATTTATTGTCCTTTTAGTAGTCCATGGTACTTGAAATATTCTCCATAAGCACCACAATTCAAATGCATCTATTCTTCTTCTGTCTTTCACATACATGTGTAGTAGTGGAAAATACCATGGCTTGGATCAGGCACACCTTAGTCCTCAAAGCAATATCCTTATTTTTCACTACTCTAAAATGGTCTCGTGCAGCAGATTTTACCAAATGCAACTCATCTTGTGATATATCCCTGCCATAACCCTAAGACATCTATTTACTGTGTCTATAGATTTACCTATCCTA